CACAGCTCCTCAAAGAGCTGGCAGATAACGCCATCCGAGACTGGCCCCGCCCCCACGTCAGTAACAGCATCAGCAGTGCCCCAGAACGCCTGAGCAGCCACCACCTGACTACGGCGCGGAATAATTGGGCAACTTGAAACCCATCTGCACAACTAAAGTCGCGGCATCCGCCACCACGGCCAAACTAGCAACGAAGTCGCACTCTCCTTGCCCCTGCTTCGCCCGCCTGAGGATAGAGGAGAGCGATCTCCGCGACCCCGCGGCGGCACCGTGACCGACGACCTCGGCCTCGCGGACCGCGCATCCGAGCGGGGCCACATCCTCGCGAAGTCCTTAGCGCTGCCGACGTAGCACTTGGCCGCCTGCCCCACCAAGTCGAGCGATGGCGAAGGTCCATCTCCAAATTACACAACCACTCCTGCCAGGCTGACTCTAGGCCAGCGGGAGCAAGCTCACTGGCTTCCCAAGACCAGCGGCGCGCGGGCAAATCCCCTCTGCGGGGCCGTCGGGAAGACATCAATGTCTGGCACACGTGGACTGGCATCCCGAACGAAGGCCCCGGACCACGATGAGGCCCCCGTGAATGATACATCGACACTGCCACGTGCATGGACGCGGATGAGCCACGCAAGGCCCCGACATCCGAAGCACCTCTCGCTGGGCCCTGGCCGACAATGAAGTTGCGAGCCTGGGGCCCTCGGCCGACGCTAAGCACGCGAGCCCCACAGACGGAACCGCAATGGCACTGAAGATATCGGCCCATTCCAACATCCGCACGCGACCAGGTCCGGCGTCGAAGCCTACCCCAAGAACCCAAGGGGTCGAACAGCGCCACGGCACAGTGCCAGGCCCCTTCATCACATGCCCGAAGAAAACCTCGACGTGGCCATAGATACACAATATGTCGATACCCGCGGAAACATCACGTCGGACCCGATCACCTTGAGCTGCGGACTGCAGTCGGCCGAGACGTCACACATGCGGACCACAGCACCTGCACACGCGAGGCACGAGGAAATCGCAGCCAGAAACCCCGCCGAAGACTCAGCGGCCATCGCGCCCGCGCTACGGGCCAGGCCAAGAGCCCCACGAACGCTCCGCGCAGCCAGCCATCTGGCGCCCGGGCGGCTGCGGGCGGGCCCCATGCAGCGGCGCTTTCGCCCAAGTAGCACGCGAGGCCAGCAGCCGTCAGCCGGGCCACGCTGCCGGCCAATGGCCGCCTGGAGAGATGACCGGGAGGAGGAGGAGGAGGAGGAGGAGGAGGAGGAGGAGGAGGAGGAGGAGGAGGAAGAGCAGGAGGAGGAAGAGGAATTCGCATTCGCCGACCAAAAACGCCCCGTCCGCTGAGCCGCGCCACCCTGGCGCCGCAGCCTGCGCCCAGCAAGCGGCGACGCTGGGAGGGCCCGAGGCTCGAGGGGGGCCTCGAGCCCGCGCCCCCCCCCCCCCCCGATTCAGCAAGTCCGTTCTGGCGCAGAAGCACAACAATTGGTGACGCCGAGCCCCGAGGCCCTGGGGCTCGAGGAGCACCCCAAGGCCGCGCCCTGACCGGCAACGGCGGTCTGACACGATGGCAGAGCAGATGGCCACGCCGAAGGCCCGGGGATCGAGGGGCACCGAGCTCCGACCCGGGAAGGCGCCGCGCCCGCGGGCCGCGCCGCCCGCGGGGCCCTCGCGAGGCGCCCGCAGCGCGCCGGAGCGCCCCCCCGGTTCCTGACCGCTGGCCGCGGCGACTTCAACAGACTTGCTTCTGGGCAGACCCCCCGAAGCCGACGGCGCTGAGGGGGGGCCCCACATCTGCCGCGCCAGCCTTGGGCCCGCGGGGAAGGCCCCCGACCCCGCCGGAGCCAGCGGGATCCACATTGCCCGACATGAAGACAAGACGCCGAACTCGAACACGCAGAAGCCGAGCCCACAGACGTCGCCGAACTCCCGCCCGGGGACTCCGAAGGCGCCCACAGACTCGCAGCGGGCCGCACAACATGGCCCAGGTGATGGTTCGAAAAAGCGGTGGGCGATTCCTTGCACGAGGTAAACCCGCGTCGTCGCCAACCCACACGCTGCCACGCAGCCTGGCAGATATCAGCCACCGCATTTGCCAGTGAGCCGCCAGTAGGAGCATGCTGAAGGATGACAGTCGCCCTCAATCCCCCGCTGCCTTGCCCATTGAGACACGCGCCAAAGTAGCCGCACACCACTCATGACAAGTGCCCTCATCGAGCTGCCTTCCCCCGCAGACATCCCACATCCACGTGGCCGCCCAGTCGCGAGGTCATCCCCCAAGGCCCTCCTGTCCGCACTGGGATTGCGACTCGGGCGGCGGCAGGCCCATGTCTTGAGGATCCAAAACAACCATTCCATGGGCGATCAGCTGGGCGTCGGCGAACTTCACCCCGCCACTGATCCCGCCCTCGCCATCACGAGCAGCGCAAGACCCCGAAGCAGGCGTGCAGCCCACAGCCTGGCCTCCAAGTGGCCTGCCGAGTGCCTGGCGCAAGTGGGCATGAAGGGCGCGAATGCTGGACTCATCGCCAGGCGGGGTGGCACCTCCTGCCGCGATCTCCGCGCGCATCTGCGAGACGTCGACCCCGCCGCCCAGAGGCGGTGTCGCCGTGCCCGAAGCACCTGACGCCACCATCGCTTGACCCACAAGTGCTTCAATCCGTACCAAGCCTGCGAGGAACACTGATGCACCTGCTCACACAACTTGGCGGCAAACGAGGCGAGGTCAGGGACCTGCACACCCACTTTGTGGAGGCCTTCCTCGGGGAAGCGCCTGACCTCGTCCGCGTCGAGCTGCAGGATGGGCGCCGATGGCGGGGGCTGGGCCGAAAACGACACTCCCTGCGAAGCCAGCGCCGACTGCTGCGACTAGAGCCGTGACAACACTTGCCCGTGGTCAAGCACTCGGGCCCCTGATTCCTGTTCAGCATTCTCAGCGTCGCGCATCCTCTTCCTGCATGCCTCATGATGCTTACGAGCCTTGACCAACTTCTGCTCACCTTCAACAATCTGGCGCACTAGGGTGCAGAGAGAGACGCTGTGCAACTGGCAGCTGGTCGAGCTGGCGCTATGAAATCTGCTGCTTCTCAGGGCGCAGGTCTGGTTTGAGCTTATCCCCGACGGCACCTTCGAGACAACCGACTACAGCGAGCTCCTTCCCGAGGACTGCGAGACGGTCCTGGTCAGAGACAACCTCACACCGAAGGTCGACGTCCCAGTACTCTGAGGGGGGCGCTCAGGGCCTGGGGCCTGACGCTTGGCCTTCTTGAAATCTGCCTCGAAGTTCTTGATCTGGGACAAGTACTTGGCCACATGTGGGCCGTCATCTCGAGACCCCTGGTCCCACGCTGAGCGAGTGGGTGGCTGTCTCCACGGGGGCCTCTTCGAGGGTGTAGCTGGAGCCTGGTGGGCCCCCAAGCACACTCCCTAGGCCAACCCGCAGCTGAAGAACTTCCTGTTCTCAGCACAATCCCACCAGCCCTTAGGGCGTAAGGGGTTTAGGGGGGTTCCTTCTGCGACCCCCTTCTTCCCTTTCGAAGAAATCCTTACCCCTTCCCATACCAGCTCCCCTTGGGTCTGGACGGGGCCGGTAGCGAGGCGTTGGAGCGCCCAAGCTGGTCTTAACGAGGCAACCAACATCAGTGACTTGACTAAGGTGTTGGCCACATGTTGGCCTCCTTCGAGGGGGGCCTACTGTATAACGGCCCCTCCTTTGATCGATCTCCTCCAAGATGGCTCCAAGATGGCCCCCGAGGCGCCCAAGGGTGCCCCAAGCCGACCCCGAGAGGTGCCCAGGAGGCCCCAAGAGGCCCCCAAGAGGCCCCCAAGAGGCTCCCATGAGACCCCAAAGAGGCCCCAAGATGCTCCCCAGGGGCACCCAAGACGCCCCAAGAAGCCAGCGGGACTGCCAAGAGACCCCCAAGACACCCCAAGGGGATTCCAAGATGCTATCGGAATAAACCCGAAGAGACTCCGAGGGGCATCCAGGAGGCGCTTGGCCTTTATGCTCGCCCTCCTCCTCCCCCTCCTCCTCCCCCTCCTCCTCCTCCTCCTCCTCCTCCTCCTCCTCTTCCTCATCCCCTCATCCGCCAGTTCCTCATAATTCGTCCTCCCTCCTCCCCCTCCTCCTCTCCCTGCTCCTCCTCCTCTTCCTCCCCCTCCTCCTCCTCCTCCTCCCCCTCCTCCTCCACCTCCTGCTCCTCCGATTCCTCCTCCATCCTCTACCTCGTGGGGTATGACGTCTTACCCAGCCCTTGATTTCATTGCATGCTCCTTCACATCCCTGATCAGGGCAACTCGTCTTGGCAGAGTTTTTGGATGGGCTGGCGGGGCTACGCAAAGCGTCCAGACCTGAGGAGCGGCTTGCCCGACTTCGGATGCAGGCAGGTCTTGCAATGCCTGCTCTGGGGAAGCGGCACCATCCCTGTGGACAGGGACGGAGCGGGGCCCGCCTTGCCACACGGCAACCGAGGGACCCCCCTTGGGGCTGCTGAACCCCCCGGCGCAGGTGGACCCCAGAAAGGAACGAGAGACTGCCGCGGACCAGCGGCATCCGTGCTCCGCCACGGGCAAAGAACATTTTGAGCCAAAACGGCTACGGAGGAGGGGGGGAAGGGTGAAGGAAGGAAGACAAAAAAGAAAAGAAACCAAAAACGAGGGTGGACAGAATGCGCGAGGAGGCAAGAGAAGGAGGTGGAGCAAAAGAGAGGCGGCGGAGGAGGAGGAGGAGGAGAAGGAAGCGGAGAAGGAGTGGGAGAAGCAGCAGCAGGATGATGATAAGGAGGAGGAGGAGGAGGAACAGCAGCAGCAGCAGCAGGACGAGGAGGAGGAGTAGAGAGAGGGAGGGGGAGAAGGAGGAGGAGGAGGCGGACGACAGAGAGAGGAGGGAACAGGAGGAGGACGAGGATGACGACGACGACGAGGACAACGAGGAGCACGGCGAGAACGGCGACGACGATTACGCCGATGACAACAACGACCGCGCGCGTAGGGGGTCGCGCCTTTGCCTCCGTGAGGTCGGTCTCACTCCCGCCGATCTCCTCTTAAGCGCGAAGCATTGAAGCCGTGCCTCCCCCCACCCCCCCCAGAAGAAGAATGGGGAAAGAAACAGATTAAAAACGCCCAGCCCGCCCAGGCACCTCCTCTTCCTTTCTTCCTCCTCCTCCTCCTTCTCCTCTTCCTTCCCACCCTCCTCCTCGTCCTCCTCTCTCTCCTGCTCCCCTCTCATACCGCCGAGTCCGCCCACCCTGCTGTCTCTCATCCTCCGCCTCCTCATCCTCCTCCTGATCATCAATATCATGAACATCATTCCTCCTGGCCAGCATCCACATCGGCATCCTTTACAACAACAGCAGCAACAACAACAACAACGACGACAACGACGACGACGACGAAAACGACGACGGCGACGATGACGAAGACAACGACAACGACAACGACAACGACAACGACGACGACGACAACAACAACGACAAAGACACCGGCAACCACAACAAAAACAAAAACAATAACAACAACAATAACAACAATAACAACAACAACAACAACAACAACGACAATGATAACGGCGACGACGGCGACGACGACGCCCTCAAAACACAACAACCACTACAGCAACAACCACAACCATCACAACAACAGCAACAACAACCACAACAGCAACAACAACTATAACAACAAGAACCACAACAACAAGAACAGCAACAACAACGAAAACGACGACGCCAACAACAACAACCACAACAACAACAACAACAAGAACAAGAACATGAACCACAGCAACAGCACCAACAACAACCACCTCACCATCGACATCACCATCACCATCACCATCATCATCACCATCACCACCACCATCAACATCACCATCACCATCACCATCATCGTCGTCATCATCAACAACATCATCATGAGCATCATCATCATGATCAACATCGTCGTCATCAGCATCAGCATCGTCATCATCGTCGTCGTCGTCAGCAGCAGCACCACCACCACCATCATCATCACCACCATCATCGCCATCACCAGCACCACCATCATAATAATCGTCGTTAAGTTAATTTGCGTCGTCGTCGTCGTCATTATCTATATAAGTACACTACATATCATCGCCTTCATCATCATCGGCAGCACAACCATCATCATCCTCGTCATTATCCAGGCCAGCATAATCATCATGAGCAGCATCACCATCCCCATCATCAGCATCGCCTCCTCCCCCTCCTGGCCCTCTTCCTCCACCTCCCCCTCGCCCTTCATCCTTTCTCTTTGCACATGAGTTGTCCTTGTCGCACCCCCGCACATATTGGCAGGGTGGGCTGCTCGTTTTGCCTGAAACTTTCTTACCGCTGATGGGCCTGAAGCTTCAAGTTTGCAACAAGAGCCCTGATGGAGGGGGTGCCGTTTCCAAAAAAGGGGCCGTTGCCTCAGCGCCACGCACACTCGTTGGACAAGCTTCCAACAGCTGCAAGGATGGAGGGGGGTCGTTTTTTAACTGGGGCTCTCGTCTTCGCGCCACGCACATGAGCTTAAAAGTCTGGAGCCGCTACAGCGAAGGGAGTCGTTTTCAAATAGGGGGTCTGGTCGTCGCGCCGCGCAGTCGTCTTAGTTGTTACAGCTACGAGGATCGGGGGCGGCTCCTTGTCAGTGTGCGGCTCTCGCTTGAAACTTCCCTGAAGTGTAAACGCCCCAGCGGGGGGGTCTTCGAAGCCCTTGCAGAAGCCTCAGGTTCCACGGAGCCCACCTTCTGAGAGGCACCCCGCCTTCTCAGCAGGCCACCACCCCGGCCACCACCCCCTCGCTCGGGCACACGTTGGCGGCGCGCAGAAGGGGGTAGGGGGAGGGGGGGGAAGGCGTCTCAGGAGCACCCTGCTTCTCAGAAGGCCCGGCCTTACATCTATAGATAAGGCCAGCGCCTTCCAAGAAGCAGGGGTGCTTCTAAGAAGCCTTCCACCCTCCCCCATACCCTTAGGTCGGGCATGTCCCCCCACAGGCGGATTTTGGACGAGATATACAAAAAAAACAAGAAATACCGCAAAGAGAATGTAAAAAACAAAAACAACCAAAAAAATCGTCCCCTGATCATTGTTCGACTAGGTCAGAGCATTCCCCCTGTAGAGGGACAGGCCCGACTGAACCATACCCCCCGCTGCGCGTGGCCAAGCACGGCTGGCATGGCTTACGGCTCCGTGGATCTGGCGCTTGGGCGCGCCAGATACGCGGCCTTCTCGGCGCGAGGCACGCGGCCCGCGCCGCCCGATCTCCGGCGACGGGCCGCGCCCGCGGCGCGCGGCAGCGGGCTCCGTCGCTGAGCCAGGCGCCTCTGGCCGTGCCCTCGTCTCGGCGGGGGGGCCGTCGGCGCTCCGCCGCTCGCAGCTCAACTGCTCGCAGAGTGCCCGGATCCGCCGTGGGGGATTTGGGATACACCCTGCGAAATGCTTAAGAAATCATGGGTTAAGAAATTCGTAGTCTCAGAACTTCAATAAAAACCCGAAATTTCTATTCAAATCTTAGGATTGACATTGAAACAGTAAGAATAATCGACACTCTGGCCGAAAACTTAGGTTTTCTTAAGCATCGCATGAGGTGTACATTTTTGCGAGTGGGCAGCTTGCGAGCAGTGGAACGCGCTCGGCGAGTCGGAGGCGCAGAGGGTGCCCCGTCCGCCGAGAGGTGCGGGCTTTTGTTTGGGGGGGAGGCTCGGGGGGCTGTCCCACAGGGAGGCCGCCGGGGGTGACATGACTGGAAGGGGGAGAGGCCGGGGACCGTGACCAAGACTCAAGACCGAGCGCGGACACGTCGTGTCGACCTTGGTCATCGTCCCGTCGATTCGTGGATCATCCTCGCGAATCGGCGACGGCCCACGCGGACGATGACCAAGATCGGCATCGACAAGATCCAGCGACATCTGGCATAGGGGGGGACGGGTCCTGAGGGAAGCGGGTCCTGGCCCCGCGGGCCCTCCCCCAGGAGGAGACCTTCATTCAAAGTCGTTTGATGACAGTCCTGGGGCCCGTGTAGGGCCCCGAGAGGCTTCGGTGGAACTCATGGGAGCCTCCAAAATACCATGTTGTCGGCTCTTGCGAGTCGACGCTAATCGACGCTAAATCGACGCTAATCGACGCTAATCGACGCTGAATCGGCGTTATCTCATCGACTCCCAGACGCTAATCGACGCTAATCGACGCTAAAGACGGAATTAAGAGGGTACACAAGGCTCCCATGATTTGCTACCGAAGGATATGGCCATCTGGCCGTCCATAAGAGATCTATCGTCTTCATCCGTCGTCTTCATCCATCGTGGTCGTCTTCAAAGTATGGCGTTTGGCCACGCCTATGTGCTTGGAGTGCCGCCGGCCCTCGGGTTGCACTGTTTGGCTGTAGCCGTTCTTTTCCCGCCAACGCGTCCACCTGAGCGACAATTTAAAACGAGTCTTGCGCGAGATGGCACAGCGACCTTACGCGGTGACTTACGCGGGCCGCCGGCGCGGCACGCCGCATTGAAGACGAGGGCGCTTACGCGCGACCTTACGCGGGGAGCTTACGCGCCAATGTCGGCGCAGTTGGACCCGTATTTGTTTTGTCGCCCACCTGGATATCATGGTCCCCGTGCTCCTTCCCTCGAGCTGGACCAGAAAACACACGACACCACCCCACCTGCGGCCCACTGGGGCTGAGCGAATACCAACAACTCTCGCGTGGGCTTTCGCGTGGTATACGCTACGGCCCCAGATGGGCCGTAGCGCCACATGGCAGGCCGTAGGTGGGGTGATGTTTCGGTGGCAACTCATGGGAGCCTCCCATACCATATTGTGGGCTCTTGCGAGTCGACGCTAATCGAAGCTAAATCGACGCTTATCGACGCAGTCGGCGCTATCGCATCGACCCCGAGACGCCAATCGACGCTAGTCGGCGCTGAAGACAGAATCACGAGGGTACACAAGGCTCCCATGTGACTTGCTACCGAACGATGTCGTTGGCTCTTGGTCGATCGAGCGGCGGTGTGCGCGCCTCCCCTTCTGAGCATCGTTCAACCGATCCCCATCCCCCGCGGCGTGGCCTGGGCCCCACTGGCCGATCTACCCCCCGAGATGGGGATGTAGGCCGTCCCCTTCGGGCTTCGAGGGGTGTACCCCCAACTGGGGGAGCAATCCGGTGGGGGTCTCGCGATGGGGATGGGGATGGGGATGGGGGCCGGATAAACGCTACGGACCTGCTCCGCGAGGAGAGGGGCCCCGCCCCGCGAGGCCCTGCCCCCCGGGCGCAGGGCCGGCGCGGATGCCGCCGGAGGGCGCCGCCTCCACGGGATCCGCCAGAGGCTTCCCGGCACCTCTGCGTTTGTCGTCGTCGTCGTCGTCGATCGATGCCGAAGGATTCGCTACGTGTTGGGCCGTTCTTCGGCCTCCAGGGCCCCGAGGCCTCCGGAGCGGACCCCGTCGCATCGAGAAGGAGGGCCAGCCTCCTCCAGAGGAAGAGTAAACGGCATAGACATAAACTGTTGGCGCTCCGCGCGGATTTCCTGGATCTGCGCTGGACCCCCCTACCTGGCGCGCGGAGCGCGCCAGGGGCGGCGCTGGAGGCGCCGCCGGGGGGGGGGGCCATGCGCCGACCGGGGCAATCCGCGCGGAGCGCCAAAAGTTTATGCTTATGTAGAGGCCTCCTAGATGGGGTCGGAGTACATGGGGTGCACCTGCGATGTATCGGCGATGCATCGGCGATGCACCTGCGATGCATCGTTGACGTCGGCGATGCATCGGCGACGTCGACGTGAAGCAAATCGGGCTCCGCATCGAGCCGCATCGTCGATGCATCGGCGACGCGGCGCGATCCTCCGACCCCATCCATTCACTACCCCACCTAGGAGGCCTAGATTATGGCGTTTTCCCTTCTTCGATCCTCGGCTTAGGTCGGGCATGTCCCCCTCAAGGCGGATTTTGGACGAACAAATAAAAATACTACAACAAAAATACCCCAAAAACGGCCAAAAGTGCCCCAAAAATTAGCCCCCCGACTTTGTCTCGACTAGCTTGGAGAATAGCCCCCCATGTGGAGGGACAGACCCGACTTGAGCTTGTGCTCATGGCGTCTTCCCTTCTTCGATCCTCGGCCCGTGCGCGCCGCCGATGCGCCCGCGGGGCGCCCGCGCGGGCTGCCCGTCGGCTCCGCGCCCGCGGGACCAGCGACGGCGCGGAGAAGGTCGTCGTCGCCGTCGGCTGCGGCGTCGGCGTCGTCGTCTGCCTCGTCCCCTGGCTCCCCTTCTCGCCCTTCAGGCCAGGGCGCGCGGGCGCCCTCCGCGGCCGCGGCAGAGCGGCGCTCGGCCGCGGAGGGCGCCCAGGGAGGGGGGGGGGGAGCCCTGGCAGGGCGCCGCAGCGCCTCGCGGCCCGGGCCTCTGCGCCGTGCGCCTCCTCGGCGGACCTTCCCCGGGGGCTCTTCGGCGAGCTGCCACGCAGACGAGGCCCGGGCGAGGACGGACTCGGGCGAGGGTCTGCGTCGAGAGTCTCCTCCTCCTCCTCCTCCTCCTCCTCCTCCTCCTCCTCCTCCTCCTCCTCCTCCTCCTCCTCCTCCTCCTCCTCCTTCCGTAGCCTCCCTCGTGCTCCTCCCCCCTAAGACGAAGCCAGGACGAGGATAAGTTCGGGTCAGGATATGAATCGAGAAGCTCGGAGATCTGGCGGCTTTGGAAGATGGCTCGGGCGCCGCGGCCTTCTCGGAGCGTTCCGTGGCGCTCTCAGAGCATTCCGGAACGCTCTAGAACGGACTCATCCTCGTACTAGCCCCGTCCGACAAGATCACCCCTCCCTGGCGAAGCCCACGGCCGGGAACCTGAGTATATCGTTAGCGCGTCGCGGCGGCGGCGCTGGCGACACGCCACGCCCTGCCAGCGGAGAGCGCAACACTCCGCCACGCGAGGCGGGAGTCTCAGGAGGAGGAGGGGGAGGAGGAGGGAGGAGGGAGGGAGGGAGAGAGGGAGGCAGGGAGGGAGGGAGGGAGGGAGGGAGGGAGGGGTAGGAGGGAGGGAGGATAAGGAGGATTAGGAGGAGGGGGAGGAGGAGGAGGAGGACGAGGAGGAGGGCAGGGAGGAGGAGCCAGGAAGCGGCTCGCTGGTCGCGCCCGAAGCCTGGTGGGCCAGAGCCGGCGCCTCGACGCGCTGAGCCAAAGTGCCCGACCGTGGATCGCTCCTACGAAAGGCGGGAGGGCTCTGGCAAGTCGCCCCCGCTGGGGGGGTGAGACCCGTCTCTGGACGACCCCCCCCTTCCCTTCCTCCCCCATCCCTCCCTCCTCCCTCCCCATCTCTCCCTCCCTCCTGGCATCCCTCCCCGCCCGGTAGTGCTTTTCTGCCCCTCATCCTCGTTGGCACGACCCCCGCTTTCGCCCTACCGGAGGCTCCTTGCCGGTCAGCTGGGGCATCTCGTTGCCCCAATTGCCGGCAGCCTTCTCGAACTCCCTCATGAAGTCGGTGTCCTGTGGTCGTCGTCCTCCTTCTGCCAACTCGTGCCTCCTCCTCCTCCTCCTCCTCCTCCTCCTCCTCCTCCTCCTCCTCCCCCTCCTCCTGGCTTCTCCTCCCTGCCCTCCTCCTCCTCCTCCTCCTCCTCCTCCTCCTCCTCTCCTCCTCCTCCTCCTCTTCTCCCCCTCCTAATCCTCCTCCTCATCCTCCCTCCCTCCTACCCCTCCCCCTCCCTCCCTCCCTGCCTCCCTCTCTCCCTCCCTCCCTCCTCCGTCCTCCTCCCCCTCCTCCTCCCTGATCCTCCCTGCGCGCTGCCGCGCGCGGGGGAGGGGGATAAGAGAGCAGGAGCAGGAGGAGGAGAAGAACGACAAGGACGACGAGCACGCGGAGGCGCCGCGGAGGAGGACGAGAACGCGGAGAAGGAGGTGGAGGAGGTGGAGGACAAAGAGGATGATGATGATGATGATGATGATGATGATGATGATGATGATGATGATGATGATGATGATGATGATGATGATGATGATGATGATGATGATGATGATGATGATGATGATGATGATGATGATGATGATGATGATGACGACGACGACGACGACGACGACGACGACGACGACGACGACGACGACGACGACGACGACGACGACGACGACTACGACGACGACGACGACGTTGAGGAGGAGGAGGAGGAGGAGGAGGACGTTGACGAGGTGGACAAGGACGCGACGGAGGAGGAGGAAGAGGAGGCGGAGGAAGGCAGGTGGAGTAGGAGGAGGAGGAGGAGGAGGAGGAGAGGCTGGATTGGACTCCTCGGGAGAGCTCGGGCAACTCGGAACAAAAGAAACGATGGGAACGAGGGTAGAGCGAGTACTCGACGCGGAGATCCCCATATGCGCATCTCATACTTCTGTCACGCATCGCTGGGCAACTCTGTATGTGAGCATCTGGGTATGAGAGCGAGTCAGCGTGGACGACGTGCGCTACAACGACGACGGCGACAGCGACGACTGCTGCGACGTCCTCTTCCTCTGGGCTTCCTTCATGAGAAACGAAGGAAACACAAGTGGAAAAACGAAGGAGCACTGGAACAACAAAAGAGAGAAGACCGAGTAAATCTGAGGTTGTGTGATATGGGTGTGAGCGAATCTGAGTGTGAGTGAACCCAGGTATGGTTGAGTGTGAGTGTGAGTGGGTCTACGCATGAGAGTATGAGGATCAGTGGTCTGAGTATGCGTAAGCCTGGGTATCAGTGAGTCTTAGCGAGAGTGAGTCTGAGCGTGGTTTTGAATGTGAGTGGGTCTGACAATGAGTTGACGAGTATGAGTCTGAGCCTGGGCGCGCCTGAGTACGAGCAACTCTGACTATGAGTGAGTCTGAAGGTGGGTGAGTATGAGCGCGCATGAGTCTGAGTGTGAGTAGGTATGAGTGCGAACGAGTCTGAGTGTGAGTATGATGAAATGATCCTGAGTACGAGCTAAGTTGGATACGAGTGAATTTGAGCATACCTGAATCTGAGGATGGGCGAATCTGAGTGTGAGTAAGTCCGAGTATGACTTAGTCTGAGTGTGAGTAAGTCCGAGTGTGACTTAGTCTGAGTCCATGTGAGCGAACCTGAATGAGAGTGAACCTAAGTGTGGGGCGAGTCTGGGTATAAGGGAGCCTGCGTAAAGTTTAGTCTGAGTGTGGTGAGTGAACCTGAATGAAGAAGAGGTGCTGGTGAATCAGTCTGGCTGTGAACCTGGCGAGGAACAAGAGGGGGAGGTGAGTGAGTGAGTGAGTGAGTGAGTGAGTGAGTGGGTGAGTGAGTTCCAGAGTCGTCTACATAACACAAATGCGAAGAAAAGCCTGGGGGGGGCGAAACTGACAAACCGTTCGAGACATCCCCACAATCTTGGCTCAAACGGGACCATGCAGTACCCCCTGGCGGCTCCCCCTTGGAGTGCTGAAACCAGCGCCTCGCCAGAGACATCCTCACAATATGCTCAGAAAGAAAAGGGCGTTGAGCACCCAAACAGGCAAACCGCCTGAGACATCCCCCCAATCTGGGCGCGAACGGGCCCGTGCAATATCCCCTGGCGGCTCCCCCTAGGGGTGCTGAAACCAGCGCCTCGGTCGAGACAGCCTCACAGTCTGCGTGCGCGAATGATTTTTGATTATGAATGAATATGATTGAAAGAGTGATGTGATTGAGTCTGAGTGATGAGGAGTGCGTCTGGGTAAGAGTGAGCCTGAGTATGAGTGTGAATGAGTCTGCGTGTGAGCCGGTCTGAATTATAGCGAATATGAGTATGAGTGAGTCTGAACGTGATGAGTGAGTGTGAGTGTGAATGTGAGGAAGACGAGGAGGAGGCAGGTTGCGAGGAGGGACGAGGAAGAGTCGACGCGGTCTAAGTAATTATTCACTGCGTGGAGCGCCCCATATGTACATCTATTAGCATGAACCTGTCCGCCGTGAGCGTCTAGAGGAAAGAGTTTTCCTATATAAACAAGCTTGAGTAGTGACGGTCTGGGAGTGAATCTAAATGTGGATGAGTTGGAGTATGAATGAATCTCAGTAGCACGAGCGCGTCTCTGCGCATGAGCTTGGGGCCTCCTGGGGCCTCCTGGGGCCTCTTGGGGCTTCCTGTGGCCTCCTGAGGCCTCCTGGGGCCTCGTGCGGCCTCCTGGGGCCTCCTGGGGCCTCCTGTAGTCCCCTGGGGAGGATTCGTGCCCCAAGGGAGGCCCAATTTATAGGAACAGACGTACGTAAAACACTGCGGAGTGGAGCCGCAGGAGAAGGGCAATCTATAGGAACACACATAAAACACCAAGGACTCGTGCACATATGGGAGGCCGAAATTTATATATATATATACACACACATACATACATACATACATACATACATACATACATACATACATACATACATACATACATACATACATACATACATACATACATACATTCATACATACATACATACATACATACATACATACATACATACATACATACATGCATGCATACATACATACATACATACATACATACATACATACATACATACATACATACATACACATATACATATATACATATATATATAGGAACAATAGTAAAACACTTAGGATTGGGTGCACAGGAGAAGGACCGTCTATAGAAACATACGTACCACGCCAAGAACCAGATGAGGCCCAATAGATGGGAGCATACGTAAATGCATGAGGTCGGGGCCTCCTGTGGCATCCTGATATCTCCTGGTACCTCCTGTGGCCTCAGGCACCCCGCTCGAGACATCCCCGCCATTTTGGCGCGAACGGAGGAGTGAGATACCCCCTGACGGCTCCCCCTTGGGGCCGACAATGAGCGCCTCGCTCGGGACACCCTCAGAATATGCTCCGAAAGCGGAGGATGCTGGGCACCAAAACAGGCACCCCGCTCGAGACATCCCCGCCGTTTTGGCGCGAACGGAGGAGTGCAATACCCCTTAGCGGCTCCCCCATTGAGGATGCTGAAGCCCGCGCCTCGCTCGAGACATCCTCAGAATTTGCTCCGCCATCAGCATCCTCATCAGCATCAGCAGCATCATCATCATCATCAGCAGCATCATCATCATCATCAGCAGCAGCAGCATCAGCATCAGCATCAGCATGAGCATCAGCATCAGCATCATCACCACCACCACCACCATCATCAGCAGCCGCATCATCGCAGCAGGACATACCATCTAATAATAGAACATGGTTTACCATATCCTAACGTACCATAGCATAACATACCATATCATATCATAGGGTGGCATAACAGACATGGCGCATCATACCGTGACAGCTCATATCATAACGCCACATTTCATGGCATAGAATAAAATGGCATGGCATGCAATTACATACCATGGCACACCATAGCATACCATGGCATAACAGATCATGCCATAACATAACATGAGGAGGAGGGGAGGAGGAGGAGGAGGAGGAGGAGGGGGAAGTTCGAAACGGTCGGAGTCATAACAAGAGCCCCATCCTTTGGATATGGAGAAAACCAGAAACCAAGCTTAGGCGATAGGGATTAAAACCAAAAAACATAAGCAGAAACTGCTGGAGGACCTCGCGGATTTCTTGGATCGGCGCTAGCCCCCCTCCTTGGCGCGCAGAGCGCGCCAGGGGTGCCGCCAGAGGTGCCGCCAGGAGGGCGCCAAGCCCCGACCCAAGAAATTCGCGAGGATCTCCGAAATTTACATGTATGCAGCTGTCGTTTCTTAGCATGTTTTTTTCACTAGCTTGAATACTATCCTTCGTAAAAGTATTAGCTTTATCATTGCTATTAGTACTATCTACATGTTTGCCGACTCATACTTGCACTATTCTTGTGATCGTTCGGGAGGGGGGAACCCCAGGACCCCCCCACCCCCAGGACGGATCGAGGATCGAGGGTCGACGGTAGATGAGAAGGCGGAGGAGAAGGAGGATGGTTGGCCAAGGACCGAGGATCGAGGAGGAGGAGGAGGAGGAGAAAGAGGTCTGGAGAGGGGAGGAAGGAGAAGTGAGGACGGAGGAGGGAGGAGGAGGGAGGAGGGAGGAGGCAGCGGAGGAAGAGAAGGAGGTGGAGGAGGAGCAGGAGGAGGAGAAGGAGGAGAGAGGAGGGAGGAGGAGCAGAAGAGGAGGAGGAGGAGGGAGTGGGGGGGGGAGGAGGGAGGAGGGATGGGGGAGGAGGAAGAAGGGAGGGAGGAGGCAGGGAGGACGGAGGAGGGAGGAGGCAGGAGGGAGCGAGGGAGGGAGGGAGGGAGGGGGGAGAAGCAGGAGGAGGAGGAGGAGGAGGAGGAGGAGCGAGGCGGCGAGCGAGGCGGCGGGGTGGCGGCCTGCTGCTGCGGCTGCCAGGGCTGCTGGTGGCCGCCACCCTGCTGCGAGTAGCCCCCCTGGCCGCGGGCACGGGTTGACGAGGAGGGCGAGGCGGAGGAGGACGAGGCAGGGGCGTGCGTCGGGTGCGGGGCCGGCTCTGAGCGAGGCTCGGAAAAGAGAGACTCCGACTCCTCATCCCCGTACTCGTCATCATCATGTTCCTCCTCCTCCTCCTACTCCTTCTCCTCCTCTTCCTCCTCCTCCTCCCCCTCCTCCTCCTCCTCCTCCTCCATTCCTTTTCCTTATAACTAATTTCTCCTTGTCGCACCCCGAGGACAGTTTTAGGGCGGGCCGGGCGTTGTGCCTGAGACTTCCTCACCACTTATGACCCGGAAGCTGGCAACAGTTTCACAGATGGAGGGCGTGGGGTTTTCAAAATGTGGCTCATTTATTAGCGCCGCCTACATTCACTCTACAATATTTGCAAGAGCTTCACGGATTGAGGGCGGCTCCTTTTCAAAATGTGGCTTTCCCCTTAGCGCCGCGCATATTCGTCTTTAAACCTTGCAAGGGTTTCACGGATTCCCATGATCAGTGTACCAGGACACGCTTTGGAAGGATTCAACGTTATGATGGCGAAACAGTTAAGTTGATTCGCGGTGTTGAAGTCCCAGGAGTGGCGTTCTGGCACGATTCAGGGTCGTCAAGACGCAGCAGCCAGGTTGATCCGTGGCGTTGGAATCCCGAGAACAATGTTTTGGCATGCTTCAGCGTCTTCAAACGGTTGTCTTCCAACGAGATAGTACCTCCAGTGGAACTGAACCGTTGTAGGGCCCTGTGAAGAGGGAGCTTGGAGGGAGGATTTATTCCAACACCGTTGATGACTCTTGGGTTTACACTGGTCCTCCTCCTCCTCCGCCTCCTCCTCCTCATCCGTGGCCCGCTGGAACCTGCCCGAGACCATGCCCGACCGCTAGACCTGCATCACATGTTTTACGCATTTTGCATGAACTCTGAAGAAAATTAATGTTGTGGCAAATCAATTATGCAGTCGATCCCCCACTCGAACTCCGCGGAAGTGGCTTTTCATCCCGAGGCGGTTTTCGACGGCCCTGGGGCCCAGCTGGGACCCCCGGGGCCTGAAAATGCAAGAAGCCTTCCGCCGCGGTCTTTGTTGTTTGATGGGGAGGAGGGTCGAGGATCGAGGATGAGAATGAAGGGTTGCGGATCGAGGTGAGGATCGAGGATCCAGATGAGAATGGACCCCCCCCGAGGAGGAGAGAACCCAGGGCGAGGAGGGCCCGCCGCGCGCGCGCGGCCCCGCCGAGCTGCCAGGCCCGGCCCGTCGCGCGCGAGGGCCGCCCCGCCTGGTACCCGCCGCCGCCCCTGCGGTCGCCGCCCTGCATGGGCATCTCGGCCGGCGCCCCAGGGGGGAGGGAGGAGGGAGGAGGGAGGAAAGGAGGGAGGAGGGAGGAGGGAGGAGGGAGGAGGGAGGAGGGAGGAGGGAGGAGGAGGGAGGAGGAGGGAGGAGGAGGAGGAGGAGGAGGAGGAGGAGGAGGAGGAGGAGGAGGAGGAGGAGGAGGGAGGGAGGTCGGGACCTCTAGCGTCGAAGACGTCCGCTCGGCAGTGCCGTGCCTGCCTCCCCGACTGCGACAGTGTGGCCCGACGGCGTGGCGCGCCGTGCCGCCAGCGCATGCCGTGCCGTGCGCGTGCCGCGCTGCGTCGCGCGCCGCGGTCTGGGCGCACGAGGCCACGTGCCGCCCGCGTGCCGTGCAGTGCCGTGCCACCCGCGTGCGGTACCGTGCGCCCGCGAGCCGTGCCGTGGGCCCGCGAGCCGTGCCGTGGGCCTCCACGGAGGGGCCCAGCAGCGCCCCAGCAGGCCCCCCCTGGGCGGCCCCGAGGCCCGGCGAGATGCCGCATGCGTGTGGGCTGGATCCGCCGTGGCTTCCGCTCTGCGGGCTCGATGCCCGCCCTCCTCATCCTCGTCGTCGTGCTGCTCTTCCTCTCCCTTCTTCCTCTTCCACTTCCTCGGTACCCTTGTCTACTCCATCCCCCTCCTTCTCCTACTCATCTTCGTCGTCAGCATAGTCATCGTCACGACCACCGTCACCACCACCATCGTCATCGTCACCTTTATCTCCTCCTCCTCCTCCTCCTTCTCTCCTCCTCCTCCTCCTCCTCCTCCTCCTACTGGTCCTTCTTCTTCTCCTCCTCCCCCTCCTCCTCTGCCTCCTCCTCCTCCACCTCCTCATCCTCCTCCTCCTCCTCCTGCTCCTCCTCCTCCTCCACCTCCTCCTCCTCCGCCTCCTCCTCCTCCCCGTCCTTCCTCCTCCTCCTCCTCCTCCTCCTCCTCCTCCTCCTCCTCATCCTCCTCATCCTCCGCCACAGCCTCATCCTCCTCCTCTGCCTCCTCCGCCTCCTCAACATCCTCATCATCGTTCCCTGTCCCATATCTCTCTGGATCTCTCTCTCTCTCTCTCTCTCTATTCATCTCTCTCTCTCTCTCTCTCTCCCTATCTCTCTGTCGCATGTTCTCTCTCTATATCTCTATGTTTCTTCCCTATCCTCCTTTGTTTTCTCATCATGCTTACTCTCCTCGCCCATCCCCCGCTCATCCATGCCCTCCTAATATTACTGTTTCTGTCCCTCCTCCTCCCCCGTCTTTACTATGCCGCAGGGGAGCGCCCAGGCATAGCTCGGCTGGGCTTCGGCGGAAACAGAAAAGCGAGAAGGGATACACGGTAACGTTTGGCCGAGACCGAGGTTATAGCAGGCAGTGGCCCACAGCAACACAATCAGAATGGCGATCCCCTGCAAGTCCTACTAGCCCTGTGGACGCAGGTGGTTTAGGAGGTTGGATCTTCCAACATCACTGCTCCCCTTCGGGGAGAAGTCTGTCCGTAGTCCATATGACTATGGACTCTCACTACTGTGATACCGGAAAGAAGCCCACCCATAATATGTTTGGGGCTATAGATATATGGGGCTACAGGGCTATAAGACCATAGGGCTATAGGGCTATAGGACTATAGAGGTATAGGGCGAGCGGGCTATAGGGCTATAGGGTTATAGGGCTATATGGCTATAGGACTATAGGGCTACAGGGCTATAGGGCTATAAGGTTCTAAGGCTAGATGGCGAGTGGGCTATAGGGTTATAGGGCGATCGTTATGTGGGGCGAGTGGGCTATAGGGCTATAGGGTTATAGGGCTATATGGCTATAGGACTATAGGGCTTTAGGGTTATAGGCGATCGGGCTATAGGGCTATAGGGCTATAGGGCTATAGGGCTATGGGGCTATAGGGCTGTAGGGCTATCGGGCTGCAGGCGTATAAGGCTATAGGGTTATAGGGTTACAGGGCTATAGGGCTATTGGGCTATAGGGTTATTGGGCTATAGGGTCACAGGGCTAGTATGGCTATTATGGTTATGATGGCTATAGGAGTATAAGGCTATAGGGCTATAGGGCTACAGGGCTATAGGGCCGTAAGGCTACAGGGCTATGAAGCTGTAAGGCTATAGGGCTATTGGGCTATAGGGTTAAAGGGCTATAGGGCGATAGGGCTATAGGGCTATAAGGCTGTAAGGCTAGAGAGCGAGTGAGCTATAGGGCTATAGGATTATAGGGCGATCGGGCTATAGGGCTATGAGGCTATAGGGCTACAAGGCTATAAGGCTATAGATATATAGGGCTATAGGCGATAGAGCTATAAGGCTATAGGGATATAGGGTTACAGGGCTATACGGCTATTGGGCTATAGGGCTATTGGGCTATAGGGTTATAGGGCTATTATGGCTATAGGGCTATAGGGCTATAGGCCTATAGGGCTGTAAGGCTATAGGCTATGAAGCTGTAAGGCTATAGGGCTATAGGGCTATAGGGCTACGGTGCACCTTGGCACCTGGGCCCCCGGGCACCCGGGCGTGCCGCCGAAAGCGGCGCCATACCTCACCTAGCCATATGAATCTGCCAGGACCCCTACAGAGGCAAGCTCTGATCGAGGAGCTTTGCCACCTGGGCGGCCGATAACGAACCAATCCGGGACCTTTCCAATCCGACCTGTAAAAGGAAACACGAAGTCGACGCTGTTCGTTTCAGCATGGACACTATGTCGTCCGTGTCGGAAATGTGCGGCAGGAATGGGACGGGGCGCCCATCCCGCGCGACGCTCTCTCCTCGGCGCCGCGCTCGCTCTCTTGAAAGAACTGAGCTCCCGCTCGGGCGCGGCGCACACTTGTCGCGCGCATGTTCGCCGACGCGCGAGCGGAAGGAACTATCGCTCTCGCTTCGGCGCCGCGCAAGTCTCGCCTGACAAGTGTTGGGGGGGGGGCCCGCGCGACTGGGCGACCCGTTACCCTCGCCCAAGTTCCGTGCGCATTTGGCTCGGGAATGGTGCTCCAGCGCGGGCGCGGCGCATGGCCCGATCGCCGAGGCGCATGGGAGCGGCAGCGGCAGCGGGGCTGCACGAGAGCGGGCGAAATGCCGACCCCGCCCAAGCGCCGCGCGGCTTGCCAGCAGCGGCAGTGCGGCGCACGTCTCGGCTGCACGCCGCCCATCGGAGGCTCTGCCGCTCCAGCCCCTGCGCGGCCAGAGCAGTTCTCCTGCCGCCAAGGCCGGAAGCAGGGCCGCGCGCGAGTGCCTCCCGCTTGCGAGGTGGAGCCGCTGTTGTGGGAGGGAGGGAGGGAGGGAGGGAGGGCTCTGCCCAATGTTGGAGGGAGGGAGGGAGGGAGGGAGGGAGGGAGGGAGGGAGGGTGGCAGGCTCTGCCCAATGGATTACGATGTTGTGGGAGGGAGGGAGGGAGGGAGTAGGAGGGACCCCCTGACTCGCTCGACCTGGCTGACTAGACCTCTCCCCCTGCTCCCTCGACTGGGCCTGGGGTCTGCAGGGGATGCACAGAGACATACTAATACTATGTGTCCGCCTTGGAGGCGCGCGTCCGACCCGAATATATAGTATACCCATCTTGTAGTATATCGCTTCCTGAGCGGTGTGGCCAGAAAGCGCCCCCCCACGACGCATATACTATAAGATTTCTCGGTGCGCGCGTCGCCTCCAGGGGGGCGAAGCACATATAGTATAAGTATGTTAGGGTGATGCCGATCAAAGATAGCCGCAGATAGCCCAAGATGGCCTCAAATGCGGTACAAGGTACCCCAAGATGGCTCAAGCCAGCCTCCCGCATGCCTCCAGGAGGCGCCATGACCGTCCCTTCAAGTGGTCATGAGGCTCCTCGAGGACAACCCCCCCCCGGAGAGCCCAAAGTCCGATTCAACCTAAAGGAAATCAATGATGTGTCTTCGCGCACGTTCGCTTCCGATGGGCTCCAAGATCTCCCAGGAGAGCCCCAAGACGGCCCCTCGAGCGCCCCAAGAGGGCCCCAAGAGGCGACGGTTCAGCATTCGAGGGGGGGGGCTGATATAAGCGCCGCCCCAGTATTTGATCGATGGCCCCCAAGATGGCCTCAAGAGACCCTTGAAGGCCCCCAAGGGAGTCCTAAAAGAGCCAAGGGGCCCCAAGATGGCCCTCAGAGAGCCCAAAAGGCTTTCAAAATGGCCCCAAGCTGGCCAAGTATGCTGACAACAGGCTCCCAGATCGAAAGGTCCACGAAGGCATGTATGGTTGACCCCTGGGCTTGCTCAAGCTGATCCCGATCTTCGGTTTGACGGCTGTCCCCCCCTTTGTTCCCCTGCGTGCTCCCACACTTCCCTGATCAGCGCAGTTCGTCTAGGCGTTGCTGCTGATGGGCTGGTGGGGATCCGCGAAGCGTCAAGCATTGATATGTAAGCGCCTTATCCTCCTCCGCCTCCTCCTCCTCACCACAACCACCCGTCCATCCCTCCTTCTCATGTTCCTCGCCCCTCCCCCTCCTCCTCCATATCCGTCTCTCCATCCTCCCGATCCATCCTCATATCCTCTATCCTTTCTCCTTCATCCTCCTCATTCACATCATTCTCCACATCCTTCTCCTTTCTGCCGTTGAGCACATTTGAACCCTCAGATTGTAGCGTTAAATATCCTCCTCCTCCTCCTCCTCATCCTCCTCATCCTCCTCCTCCTCCTCCTCCTCCTCCTCCACTTCCTCACCCTCCTCAACCCCCTCCTCCTCCTCCTCCTCCTCCACCTCCTCCTCCTCCTCCTCCTCCTCCTCCTTCGGCTGCCACTTCCCTTGGGAGTGGCACCCGCCCAGCAGCTCATTTTCTCCAACAAAGCATGGCAGGGGGGGAATCAGCTGCCCCTCAAGAGGGCGATCCCGCATCACAGACAAGGGAATCAACGCACCAGGCTAATGCAGACAGATCGCCGAGACCCGCCCGGCAGTTCTGAGCTGCGACTCGCGCCTTCGAGGAGTACCAAATCGAGCCTCTTCCTCATCCTCCTCCTTCTCCTTCTCCTCCTCCTCATCCTCCTCC